CATCCTGCTAAAAAATTTGAAATTGTGATGACAAATTTGAGTTCACATGGTCCTTTTCCCTCTACCAAACACATAGAAATGTTGGATTAGTATGATAATTTTTTTTAATGCTTAGCCATAGCATAGGGAAAGAAAATGAGAAGATGCTAGGAGCAAAGATTAAACCTAGATGGTTAGCTTTCCAGCTCACATTTAGATAGTTCAGAGCCTACCACACCCCGTATAATCTAAGGCTAACAATTTGGGTTAAAATACCCATACAGGACACTTGGCAGATGGCAGCTAGAACTGATATTCCTGTATAAAGCTGGGATCCTGAAAAGCCCCTCCTCCATAAAGAAGTAATTGGGGTAATAGCTCCTTCCATTGATTCCATTCCCAGGAGAACGGAAACCCTAAACAAATGTAAAATTCACATTCATTCTACCTGGGTTATAAGAAAATGCTTAACTGAAAAATTAATGTCAAAAAGAATTCAGAACCAGGGAAGCTTCAAAGTGCTCATAAACACAAATATGAAACCCTCCTGCAAGGTGTGTGGAATTCACAATGGAAATAATTCCATAATGAAATAAGGTAAACTCACAATGTAAAACTATCATCTAAATGATCTTATGATACATAAAAAAGGACAGTCAGCAAATACATAAAAAGGAGAAATTAGTAAAAGAGAAATATGAGGGAGATATAAAACAAACATGATTAAATTACTTTAAAGAATTTTTTTTAAAAGAAGGGATACTATTTTAAAAACCTAATAGATGCTAAAAAGCACCGAGGAGAGCTTTTTAAAATGAAAAATACAATCATAGAATTAAATATTCACTATGTAGTTTTTAAAAGTTAGAAAGAGCTAAATAATTAGAATACTATACTAAAAATAGAACTGAGAGAATAGCAGAGAATATGCAGTATAGAAAGAAATAAAGATAATAAGTGTGAGACATGGAAAATATAACATAAAATATATAGTCTAGTGAAAGCTTCAGAACAAATGTAGAAAGAATGGGCAAAAGTTAATATATTAAAGACAGTGACTTACAATTTTCCAGATCTGATTAAAGATATGAATCCTCAAAATGACAAGGCTGATCCGGTCCTCAAAGCATAAGAAATAAAATAACCTACACCTTCATTCATCAAAAACCTTTGGAATACCAAAGACCAAGACCCTCCAAAAAAATCAAATAGAGAAAAAAAGATTTTTTATAGAGAAGCAACAACTTAAATTGGATTATTTCTTTTGAGTAAAATCAGAAACGGTGGATTTGTAACCAGGTCCAAGCGGGGTTTTGCATGGAACTCAACAAGGTGATTCTCATATTCATTAGGAGGAATAAGCACAGACAAGAACAGCCAAGGCCAAGTGTGAAGAAGTGAAAGGCATGTGGGGAGGGGGGCAGCTATCAAGAGTTATTATACAGAAATAGCAATTAAAACCACTTGATTTCAACATAGAGATAGCTGTGTAGGCTAATGGGACTGGAGCCTGGAGACATTTATAGGAGATTATTTTGTGACAGAAGTGGCATTAGCAGTCAATCATTTGAAGAGGAAATTGTGAATGGTGCTGGAATAACCAGTTGCCTGTATAGAAAGAATAAAATTGGATCTCAAATTTATTTATTATCCAAAATCAATTTCAAATGAATTAAAACTACATAAATGTAAGAAACAAAATTTTAAAATCATATGAAAAAGTACAAGGGAATCTCTTTATGTTCTCAGGGTAGGGAAAGATTTATTGAACAGAAAAAAGTTACAAGCCACAAATAAAAGATAAATTTAAAACTTTTTATATTACCCAAAGACACATAAACATAATGAAAAAAAAAAGAAAAGGTTACTAGCCAAGGAAAGATTACTGTTACTATCCAGAGTAAACAAAATTTAAATCACAAGGAAATGAGCCAGAAGAGACAGATCCTAGTAGAAAAAGGACAAAAGTCAGAAATAGACAACTCAAAGAGCAGCCCCAACTGGCCATAAACATGAAAAGATTTCCAGCCTCATTAGTAATCACAGAAATGTCAAAGTGTGATAAAGTTTTATTTCCATCTCTTAGGCCAAATTATAAAAGTTTGACAAAATCAAGTGAAGGTGAACTTGTGGGGAGATAGAGATCTTAAACCCTCCTGATGGGAACGGGTATTTATCCAATTGTTTTGTTGAAGAGCAGAGTGATAAGGAAGTGACATGTCTCCCAGTAATTCCTTTTCCAGACATGGTACTCCTGTTAACGTTTCACAACTGAGATTCTTATGAGAACCCCATAACACAGAAAATAATCTGAGTCACTATTTTTTCAATTCTCCTAAGGTGAACATAGGTAGTACCATTGTGAATGCAAAGAAAAAAAAAAATCAGTAATGCAATGAGTGCCTTAGGGGATTAGGCATCCTCTCTCACAGACACAGCAAAGAAAGGCTGTGTGCATGTCAACATTTACACAGGACCTTGAGTGCACCCCTGCTAGTAATGACAAAAACATGGAAATAACCTCAGTGTACATCAGAAGTTTATGGTCATTCTTCAAAAAAAAAAAAAACAATCTCTGACTTCTGTTATAATTAAAAATAATAATAAAATTTTTACAAGATTTCTCTTTGAGTAGTTTGAAAGGCCTCTTCATTGTGTTGTGCTATAAATGCTTAGAGCTCTGAGCATTCTCTGACCTACTAGTTTATTTTCACTTCTCACTGTCAAAACCAGCACTTGGGTGGTAACAGATGGGTCAGACTTAGGAAGGGGAAAAGACAGAGGAATCAGATTTGTAATGGGAGAAGAGAGATTATAGACAAGAAGAGAGGCATTTGGGGGAAGAAAGGATCCAATGTTATATAAGATTATTCATTTAAGCTCTTGAATCTTGAAAAGAGATCAAAACCTAAAAATCTTTCTGAACATATTGAACATTTAAAGTGTGTGCCCAGAGCCAAGGCTGATGGATAAGCTAAAGCCCAGTGGTCATGTCAAGTCTTGGGTCTAGATAGGCGGATGGTTTCGCGAAGATCCATCAGGCAGAGAATCTTGACCTCCAAAGCTATGACTTCAATGTGGAAGGAGGACTGAAGTCAAAGATGGGCAACCATGGTGTCACCAGTCATTAAGTCTAGATACAGGGGACCTTGTGACTGAAATATCATATCACCAATCTGAGAGAAGGAGTAGAAATCAGACCTGCCCTTGGCCTTTCTCAACCTTGGAAGGTCTGGGTGGCAAGGGCAGAAGGAACTGGTTTCTTACTCTCTACAAAGAGTGAGTTGTCTCACAAGACAGGGTAAAGATGAAGCTACAGAAAGCAGAGGAAAGTGAAGCTGGGATTCAGGAAGCCCATTGGATTAGGTTTTACACCCTCTCTGGATCTGGAATCCTTTGATACTTCCATAATTCCACAGAATTATTGAGCTTCTACTGGGTATTGGACACTGGGCTAAATTTAAGAATATAAAAATAAAATACCTGTCTTAGGAGTTCACACATCAAGATAAAGAAAGGCATATAAAGAAGTAATAGCAATATGCAGTGAGCATCATGAAGGAAGAATCTAAGTCAGAGAGATGGTGTGGCTATTTAGGGGAAGTAAGGGAGTCTGGGAAGGTCCCTATGGAAGGTGTACAATATTTAAAGGACATCTTGGAGAATGACTCTGAGTTCACCAGTAGACAGTGACTAAAGCTATGGAGGCCTGACAAACAATAATTTAATAACTTCAAATTCATGTTATGTAGCCAAAGAGTTGGTATAAAGGTGGAGCTAGGAAAGGACCTTATATTCTGCATTAAGGAGTTTGGAATTTGTTGGTTAGCAATGGAGAGCCACTGAAAGACCTTAAAAGCAAAGGAGAGACATAATCATGTTTGCATTTTAGAAATATCACCCTGAGGGCTACTGAATGGAATCTGAAATCCTCTTTCTGAGCTCTTCATGAGTTGCTTCCAATTTACTAATCAAATATAGTTTTTGCTGTTCCCCAGTATGCACTCTCCACCATCTGTTGATATCTCACTGTTAATAGTGTCAGCCACTACTCACATGTTGTCATCAACCCCAAATACAGTATATGACAGGCTCTCAAGTCAGATTGCATGGATTTGAGTACCATCCCCATTCTTTGTTTTCTGTCCTAAACTTCTCTGAATCTCAGTTCCTCCATCCAAAATTGTGATAGAACTGGGCATGTAATTCCAGAGACTCAGAAGGCTGAGACATAAGGATCACACAAGTTCAAGACAGCTTCCGCAACTTAACAAGGTCCCAAGCAATCTAAAGAGACCCTATCTCAAAATTAAAAACAAAAAGGACTAGGGATGTGGCTCAGTGGTTAAGTACCTTTGGGTTCAATCCCCAGTACCAAAATAAATAAATAAATAACTCGAAAAAAATTAGGATAGAAATAGTTACTCTCATATGGGGTTACTGTGAGAATTAAGTGCATATAATATGTGAAGAATATGTCAGTCTAGAAAAGGAGCTGACATCTAAATTAGCGCTAAATAGGAGTTAGCTATTTTGATTCTCTTGTACATATCCAAAGACCTATTGGACCAGACCCATTTTAAATCCTGTCTCCTTTTTGAAAACTTGCTGGACTTTTGGCAGCTATTACAGCTTTTCATTCTATAATTATTTTTAATATGCAAAATACCATGCAAGGGTTTATATTATGATACTGCTTTCCATGGTTCTCTGTTTCCTTAGTTCATATTTGATTCCTGAACTGAACTGCAAGTACTTTGAGAGTAAACACTGTCCAACTTGGGAGCACGCTGCTGCCATATGGTAGACAAACTAGCATAGTACTAATTAAAATTGTCTCTCTAAAGAAGAACCATAACTGTGAATGGGATGTGTTCCAAGTATATTCATTGCCTAAAGTCTGCAGTACTGCACCTTTATTTCAGAATCATTCATTGCTAAATAAATGTTCTTAGTTAAAAACAGAATATTTAGTTTGTAAAGATTTGCTCTCAATGACTTTTTTTTTTTTTTTTTTATTCTGGACATCTTGGGAGCTGTTGTCGGTACCGAGTGCGGAACAATAGAATCAGGTTTATCAATGGTCTTCCTCAAAGACGGAGAGAGGAAATTATG